ATATTAAAACACCCAATACTTCTGCAGAATCCCACTTGGTACATGGTAAGTAGATCATTTTGGTGTAGCTGTAATAGTTTCAAATTAAACTCTAGTGAAAGTGATGGCTAAGCAAACCCAATTTTATTTAACAGTACTGGTACTTGGGAGGGTTTTTTCCCACTGAATACTGATTTTTACTTTATCTTCATCCAGAATCAGATTTACTGATTACTGATATACTGATTTAGCAGAATGCTAAATAATACATGAAGCCTACTTGACTTGTTATTACTGAAAATGGCATGTTAATTAAATTCAGGCTAGATTTTAACACCAAAATACTAGCTTATAAATGCAGACACAAAGGTGTAGTTGCTATGTGGCTTCTTTTTTTTTTTCCTGTGTACTGTCTTTTGGCATTTTCTGTGATCTTACTGAATATTCACTAGTTTCACTGGCATTTTTTGTTGTCCAGGAAAAAGAAAAAGTGAAGAAGTGATTCGAAATGCAGCCAAGCGACAAAAATCTGAGAGCAGCGCTGAGCACCCTGCGTTTTACTACAACATCCACAGACACAGCATTAAAGGAATGAACATGCCAAAGTAAGGCTTTGGTTTAAGTTCCAGAATTATATTATGATGACAACTGACTGTGAAATAACATCCCTAAAAGGAATGATCATAGAATCATAGGATGGTTAGAGTTGGAAGGGACCGTAAAGTTCAAGTTCCAACCCCCTGCCCTGGGCAGGGACACCTCCCACTAGAGCAGGTTGCTCCAAGCCCCATCCAGCCTGGCCTTGAACCCCTCCAGGGATGGGGCAGCCACAGCTTCTCTGGGCAACCTGTTCCAGTGTCTCACCACCCTCATAGGAAAGAATTTCTTTCTAGTATCTCATCAATTTAAAACCATTACCCCTTGTCCTGTCACTGCTCTTCCTGACAAAGGGTCCCTCTCCAGCTCTCCTGTAGCTCCCTTCAGATACTGGAAAGCTGCTATAAGACCTCCCTGGAGCCTTCTCCAGGCTGAACAACCCCAGCTCTCTCAGCCTGTCTTCACAGGAGAGGTGCTCCATCTCTCTGATCATCTTTGTGGCCCTCTGCTAGACCCATTTCAACAGGTCCATGTCCTTTCTCTGTTGAGGACTCCAGAACTGGACACAGGACTCCTTTTTAAATGTTTTTTCTTTTTTTTTTTTTTTGGTTCTTTTTTAGGTTAAATAAGTTCCTGTGCTATCTCTCTGAAGCTGGCTACAGAGTAAGTCGAACCCACTTCGATCCCATGGGAGTCCGCACCAACGCGCCCTTGGCACAGTTTAAGACAATTCTGATGAAGTACAGCACTCCCACCTACGCAGGGGGACAGGCAGAAGGCCCCGTCCATCTCGCTGAAGATCTCCAGGCAGGAGAACAAGTTCAACCAGCTGCAGATGGCAAGGCAGAAGATGCTGAGTTCCTGGAAGATGCTCCATCTGGCGTGGCAGCCACCATGTTCACAAAAGACTACCCTACTCACTGTGCAGCCGATTAATGCAAAGCATTTTGTTCATAGATGAGAATATTGCTGACTTGCAAGCACACCCTGTTCAAGTAAGCCAGTTCTTCTTTCCAAAACTGGATTTGAAACATCTTGAGTTGCGTGCTGTTTTCATTTGAGAAGACTTTTTTAGAATTATGTAGCAGAACTTACCCCCGATCACAGCGCGTGTGGTCAAGGTACTGTTCCTGGGAGGAGGTCTCCAAGCCAGTTTCTTGCTTTTACGCTCACATCCCCTTCCACCCTGAGGCGTTGCGGCTGCTCCCAAGCGTTTTGTTCAAGCCTTATTCCTAGCACAGGATCCAGAAAGGTGGATGGGGCCAAAAGTCTTGAGCATTTCCAAACGTGGGGTTAATGTGAAACAGAATATTCCAAAAATGAATCATTCCTAAAGCCTGACTGGTTACACCTGAGGAGGAGGTCATGCAAAGATGATAAAATATCACAGGATAAAATCTGCTCTGAGTTCAAGAAAGCCCTGAGTCAGTGCATTTCTACCTCCAGATCACACCTGTAATCTGGCATTTGATTCTGTTTCCATAATTGTGTCTGCAAGCAAGGACCCAACGCAAGCAAGAACGGAGAGGAACGGTTACGTGACTGTTACCAAAACTCCAGGTTACAACCAAACTTTAGGGAGTTGTGTTAGTCCCTCTAGGTAGTTGTTTGTCCAGAGACTCCAGTTGGTTGTGTACCGCAAAACAAGTAGAGTGAGGAGGCACCACAAGTGGGAGGTTCTAGGTGAAGTTTTGCTATGAAGTTGTCAATAATACAGTCTCAGCTGATACAAAAGATCTCTTCTGTGAACGAGCAAAGCTACTGTGTGTTGGTAGTTGGTTCTGGTTTCCTTAAATATATGGCAGCATTCCAGCCAAATGAGCTTCATTTTGTCCTTTCTTTCCCCAATGCTTTACTTAAACACCTCCGTGTGCTTCGCTTGAATTGGGAACAACTGTTGCAATCGAACCAGTCATTCCAGGTTGGATTTTTGTTTGTTTTTTTTCACAGGCTTGGTGTTTGGCCTGGCCTGATGCCAGGGTCATCTAAGAGCAGAATATGATTATTCTTGTTTTATCCATCTCTGAAACTTCACAGTAAGAGTATTGCTTCTCTCTCCTTCAGCGCCAACCAAGAGTAACGTGACTGAGACACTCATGATTCTTGGTTGTGTACCGCAAAACAAGTAGAGTGAGGAGGCACCACAAGTGGGAGGTTCTAGGTGAAGTTTTGCTATGAAGTTGTCAATAATACAGTCTCAGCTGATACAAAAGATCTCTTCTGTGAACGAGCAAAGCTACTGTGTGTTGGTAGTTGGTTCTGGTTTCCTTAAATATATGGCAGCATTCCAGCCAAATGAGCTTCATTTTGTCCTTTCTTTCCCCAATGCTTTACTTAAATACCTCTGTGTGCTTCGCTTGAATTGGGAACAACTACTGCAATCGAACCAGTCATTCTGGATTGGTTTTTTTTTTTCACAGGCTTGGTGTTTGGCCTGGCCTGATGCCAGGGTCATCTAAGAGCAGAATATGATTATTCTTGTTTTATCCATCTCTGAAACTTCACAGTAAGAGTATTGCTTCTCTCTCCTTCAGCGCCAACCAAGAGTAACATGACTGAGACACTCATGATTCTGCAAAACTTTCTAAGCTCCTTCCAGGCCAGGATTAAGTTACTGCTTTTTAATGTTGTCTTCTGTTCAGGACTGCTTTGGTAACAAGTCATTCTGTCCTAATTAAAAAAAAACCAAACCAAAACAAAACCAACAGAGGAGACCACTACAGAGGTACCAGCTTGCACTGCAGCACTGATACAGCAACAAATTTAGTTTCCTTCAAAATTTGTAGTGCTCATAGTTCTTTTCCAAAGATAACTTGGGATCAAATTAGATAAATGCAAGTAGGAAGAAAAGTTGCAGTGTTCCCTCGCTGCTCTGAGCTCAGCATTTATTTTTGAAGTAGAGAGACTGTTAAAAGGCTCTGCTTGCAGGTAACACACTGCTCGCTCCAGTGTTAATGGGACAGAATCAGTCATAAAGGCAGCTAACTGGAGCAAAAGAGAGTGTTCCAATTACAATTAAGTAGGTTAAAAAGAAAGTTTCATGAATTCCCTGTTGTGGGAAAGATTTTTGATTACTTTTATGGCTCTTCCTAAATAACAGAAGGTATTTGTGCATCTTTTTCAACTCAAAGCGGCTCTTCCTTGGTGCTCACAGCTGCGTACAAGAAGGGGCACAGAAACTGAAATTCAGGCTTCTCCATCCAATTTGGGCTTTTTCCCTCTGACAGAGGGGCAGAATCAACAATAATGAGTTCTGCCTGTTGGAAGTGACCAACAGAAGGGGTGTTTGTCACTCAGCCCTATGAGAATTCTCTTTCTGCTCAATAGTCATCTCAGTTGTTCATCAGGTAGGGCCAGTCCTGCAATAATTAATTAGTCTCTTTCTGCTCAATAGTCATCTCAGTTGTCCATCAGGTAGGGCCAGTCCTGTAATAATTAACAGAACACTAGTATTGGTTCAAGGCTGTTGTTTAGGGGCTTCTCCTTGTTATTTCTTGCTTCTATTAGAAAGTCTGACCAGTCTGTTGTCCTACTGCTGTAAGGAAACAGGGTTTGGGGAACACAGCAGTCTGCAGCGTCTCAAAACAAGCCACCAACACTTTTGATCAATGAAAAAGTTGGAACCAGTAAAACTGAAAACAGTTTCTGCAGTCTGCAGCATCTCAAAACAAGCCACCAACACTTTTGATCAATGGAAAAGTTGGAACCAGTAAAACTGAAACCAGTTTATCAGTGTGCTGGAGGACAAATGCCAAAGGATGATGGAAAATAAGGTTTTAGGGTATCATCAGCAGGGAGTAAGTGCACGTGAGCTCTTGGGGTGTTTTCTCTTTAGCTGTGATTAAAGGAAGCTTTAAAGGTGGCTCTGAAAATGTCAGCACAGACCGAAAGGGACCTCCTGCAGCCAGAGTTCAGTGCATCTCAAGAAACCCTACCTTTAGTGCACACAAACAAGGTACTTCAGATACTCTTCAGGTAAAAAGTTGTAATAACTGTAGAAATAAAGCAAGGAAAGGAACAGAACTTCTTTTATTAAAGTACCTCAACCCATGTGACTTGTTGGGGTTACCCTACGCTGTTTTCTGTTGAAGCTGCTCCATGTACAATGAAATGCAACCAAAGTTGCTGGGTTTGAGTGCTGTGGAAATCCTTCATCCTGTTTCTTAGGGGCCCAGGATCTGATGAGATGAGCTACTGTCTTCTGTGTGCCTCTATCTCTCATCTGAGGCACAGAACAGGTGCAGGAGCTGAGTTGGTTTCAATGGACTGTAAGAGTGTCGAGGTCCAGACTCCACTCCCATCAACACCAGTGGAGGCCACCTGCACCTCCTCACCCTTCCCTTGGGACAGCCCCAACACACACACACACTGTCCAAAAGGGTTCTTCTCTGAACTCCAAGAGGAAGCAGCACTGGAATTCCCAATAGGTTGTTGGTAACATTTTTTGCTTTTATTGTCAATTTGAGAATTTCAGTGTGACTTCAGTCGGACACTCGAGCTATATCAGGCTTACTTGGACCTAACACATGCAATTTAAAAATAATATGGCTTTAAAAGGTGGAAGAGTAAAGTCATTTTGAAAATAAAATAGTTTATAGCACTAAAGAGTCACAGTGCAATCAATGGTTTAATCAAACAACTACATTATATAGATAATATTTAAGGAACATAAATATTCAGGAAATTCACTACAACATGAAAATAAAAGCTTCACGTTCTCCCCCCACTCTTCTTGAGGAACTGGGGACAAAGTGACAGCCAGCTCCTGGCCAGACTGCTCAGCTTCACAAACACCTCTCTTGCTCAAGGGACTGGACGTTACCTTCACTACCACGCTGGGAAGGTAGGCTGCCACTAATCTAGAAGTTCACCCATCAATTTGAAAGCATTTATAATCATCACCGCTCCCCCACCCCCCTCAAGGTTATATTCATGGACATGCACTACTAGTCTAGACAACGCAACGGTTCACCAGAAGGTCACAAATAACACATTTCCTTTCAAACTGCCCCCTTTCTGTGTTCTGGGGCCTGAAAACTTCTGTTCCCTGTCACCAAAAAAAAAAAGAAAAGAGCAAGTCTTTCCAGAAAGAAGAAAAAAAATAATAAGTAAAATAAGTTACTCAAAGAAGCCTGTGCAGTTTTCACATTGGGATAAAGCTGATCTGAACCAGCAGCTGGAATGGACACATATTTACAAGTGCTTGGCTTGAAAGACAGAAAGGCTGGAAAGGTACTTCCTTCCCAAGGGAATCCCCCAGCACCTGAATTCTTACACACCACGTGCCCAAAACGGTCTTAACTATGGGCAAGACAAGCCACGTGGTTTAAAGTAGTATTATTTCTCACCTATTAATCAATTAATCAGTGATATTTTTTGCTTGGAGCTTCAGATGCAAAGGGGGGGAGGCTCCATGGGCAAGTCTTGCAGCAAAGCCCAGAGGGAGGGGAGGGAAGTGGAAGATGCAAACCAACAGCAGCCACTGGACTCTGCCCAGCAGCCTGCTGGCAAGCTTTAAAACTTCAACCTAAATTTAAGACACTAAATGGTAAACTCCGTCAAGTACTAAAATTGTCTTCCAAAGTGCTAAGCCACGTTTGTTAAAGCTATGGGGGGAAAAAAAGAATAAAAAAATCCTCGAGCAGCTTATGGTTGAAGTCCTCCTTCCTTACTCAAATGGAAGCCCGGATAAGCCCACAGCTGGGGTGGCACAAATTCCATGAAGCAAAAGCATTTCAATGTTGCATTTGATGTCTGTGTGCTGGAATTTCTGGGATTTGCTTATTAAAAACAAAACAAAAATAAAATTCAGGACGGTTCTTTAGAGAACATTCTAATACATTCACAATAAAAATCTGTTATTCTAGGGAACAGAGTAGGGCTGTAAAACTTCCAGCTTTTCTTCAATGAAGCTTGTGAGGACAGATTACCACTGCAACAGGGGCCGGAGAAGAAGCTACAGTGTGTGTGTTCCACACGGGGATGAGTTATGGATTTGGGTTGTTTTGCCTGAAATTCATTAAAAAGCAAACCCATCTCTTGAATCACCTTGCACTGAAGTATTAAGCCCAGTAAAACAGCAAGGTTTTAGGATGTCAGTTTTCTCAGTACAGCTCTATTTGTTCATAAGAAAGTGACTAATAAATCTTTTCTGGGCAGTCAGATGCCTTCTAGCCACGATGCCATCAGAAATCCATTCTCTACTGACCTTTTATAAGGATAACCATTAGCAAATCACAACATTTAACACGTTCCTTGGCGTGTGTTACTATTGAATAGCCTTCCTTAGTCATCCAATGCTCAATACTTCACAGAGGCTACTGTAACTGTGTCAAATGTATCAGAAATCCAGATGTACCTGGACGAAATGAAGACATTCCAAAGTGGAACACTCGCTCAGTTCTCATGCATTAGAAAGGAAAAAGCATGTCAAACACTGGAATGCACTGGAGTAGGTCATTTAGTCTCCTAGGGAAAAACCAAAAAACCCAAAGACTAAATTAAATACAACCCAGAATACTGTCTAATCATATTAATAAGTATACTGAGGGAGCCTGAAGGCATCATGTGTATTTGTCCATGAAGATAATGGTGGTGCCTTCTTTTAAGATTAAAGAAGTCAGAGCTATAAAAAGAGCCAGTCCCGTAGGAGTTTCCCAGCGCAGCTTATTTATGTTCCTTTGTTGGTGCATAGTACAGTTCCATGGGTTTGTTCACTTTCCAGTACTTCTCACTGACCAGTTCCAAGGAAAACGACCCATTTAATACCTAGAAGAGAACACCCAAACAGAAATGAAAAAACAAATGTGATGGCTTTGCAGGGGTAGCGCTGTAGAAACAAGACGACTTAAATTGGAGGATGCACGGACTTGAAGAAGTCCCTGATAGTGTGGAACAAGTTATTAGCTAATCACTGGGCATCAAAAAAGCAACATTAGATACTCAGAACTGCTGATCTCACTAAAACTACATGGAAAACACTTGCAAAGTGACTATAGTTGTAAATAAAGTGAACTTCACTCCTCCTCTTTCCTCTGAGAGGGAGTAGTAGGTGTGTATTTAAACCAGAAGCACCCTGCTTTTGTCTAAAAGACAATCTGTGGTGACACTTGAAAGCTGTTTGAAAGAGATCCTTATTTCAAAGCATCTGCCTATCTCTTAACCAAAATACTTTGTTTTATTCAGATAAATGCCCAAGTGTGAGACCAGGCTCAGGGTTCAATCTCACTGCGATACTGCCGTGTTGTGTCTGTACATCCTGAAGTTAGCAGCTGAGAGGAGGGATTCTTCCCTAAGTGTGCTCTAATTCTCTGCTGTGAAACAGCTGTGAAGCCCACACAGAAATGGAGGAACACCACCTCACAACAGACACTTCCTGGTGCTAGAGCTATCTGCTCTTGAAACAAGATTCTCAGATGAAATAATATTTTTTTCCCCTTCAGTTTTAACAGTAAAGTAATGACTAAAGTCAGCTAGAGTTGCTGGCATCACTGGATTTTTCCCAAGGAATTTATGTCTTCTTTTCTACTAAGCAAGCTCTTGGTGTATACATTTTGCCACAAAGGAACTGATCTGCTTCTAAATAAACAGCCTGGTGCTATGAATTTTATAGCTAAGCTAATTCAGGAAAAGCCCAGCTGAGTGGATTTTAATCAAATCTTTATCAAAGATGTGTGGATGCTCAAGTTTTGCTCTTAGACAAGGCAGTGACACTCACAGTGAACTGCCCGTTGGCAGTGGCGATGTAGATGGTGTACTGCTTCTCGCTGGCCGTGTCCAGGTTCATCTGGTTTGACTCTCCTTTGCTGCGAAGCTCCTCCAAAGCCAGTCTCACAGCCAGGTACTTGGACAAGTGATCAACGGTGGCGTTGCCCGAGGTCTTGATGTACCTGCAACAACAACCACAGAGATGATCAGAGACATCCGAGTTGCAGGCATGGGGAAAAGCCACCTGGACATCCCCAAATATTAAGCACCAAGTGTGAAAAGGCCTGTAAAAGATGGTTCACAAACAAGAATATTAATTGCTTACATGCAAGGAGCTTAACAAATGACACTGTTCCAAAGCATCCTGACATCTTTTTGACACTTCCCCCCCAGCCCTCCTGCTCTCTGTAGAGAGAAGACAGCACTGCCCTGTCACCTGCTCAAAATGAAAAACCTAATAACAGGTTGTCAAGAGGTTTTGAGAACTACTCACGACCACCACAATGTTCTGAGTGTAGATACAGGCTGAAGTGCCTGGACAGAAAGCCACAAGGTGCAGGAATTACATACTGACACTCTCTGCACCTCATAAAGTTACTCTTCCTTATTGACTCACTACCTGTTCTCACTTTAATTCTTCTACACAGGAATTAAAGGCTGACACAAATGCTGCAGAGGTCTCTCCCAGGAGCACAGCCTTCCCTTTGGCTTTCAGAACATCCCCCAGAACTTCCATGCGATTCAAACCAAAAAGAAAAACTGGCTGAAACCTAGAATATATTTATAGGCACCACAGAGCGATGTCTCATCAGCAGAGAAAGCCAGGAAGAGATCTGAGGAAACTCCAGGAGACCGCTCATTGCTGTGATCCAAAATTTGCAGTCTGTGCTTGGACTGGATCATGAAAAAAATGCCAGGAAAAGCTTCCAGCCTACAAATCCCGCTGACACAAAGCTGCTCCAAAAAATGCTGACGCTTATGCAAGGTTTGTTTATTCCCAAAGAATCTTATAACAAGCAGAAAGGGGAGGATACACCATCATCCTAGTACCTACTGTGAACTGCAATCCTAGAAAAACTTAAAAATGTCTTTATTTGTGATCAAAGGCTTAAAACAGATTGTTGCCATGTTCTTGACAATAGTTGAGCAGTACCAGCTACCTGCCTTGTACTGGCAAGAGGGAAAGAGTGCATACGGTGAACAGGATGGGGTATGACCCAAGTAAACTGATTTTCAAAAGCCCCAAGGAGTGACAGAAAACAAAAGCAACAGAAAAAACACAGCAGAACACAGAGAGAGGAACAGAAGACATTTACCTCGTCTGTGCGCTGTCATCATTCTCCATGAGGGTTGGATGAGGCCTGAAGACTAACTCGATTTCACTAGCACCATCCATTACGGGGTCTATGGCCACAGTTGTGTTGTTATTGTCCAGTTCTAGCCCGGAATCATCCGATGTTTTGGTCCTCTTGTTACTAGGCCCTGCTTCCTGATTGCTGTGTGTCGAGGCATTGCTACAGTGTGAGCTGTCACCGTTATCTTCTGCTCCGCTGCCGTTCTCAATCTGCTGCTTCTTGCCCCTCTGTAGCCTGATCAGAAATAAAGGAGAAATGAATGGGGCTTAGCATTCAGAATTCACCCAACTCCTCCTGCCCCCACTCTCTGTCAGCCCAGGGGTTACACACAGGCATTCACAAGCACTAAACATTACAGAGATACTTAAAGCTTTTTTTTTTTTTTAAATTAAAAATTCATTCTTTCTTATCAAGAGATACTCATAGACAAGATGATGGATTTTTTTCCTATCACTCAAACACCTTTGAGACGTATTTTAAGATAATTTTAAACTTCATACAGTTATGTTCATTTTTCAGGCAATTTCAGACCATTATTTTCATCTAAATAGGAATCCACATGTGATTGAAAATATAAATCACACTACGTTTCACTACAACAAATTTCGGGGCCTCTTTCCCAGCTGACTCTCTTAGGTTGAAATGCACACCCAGAATTTCAATACTGTGTATTCCAGTTGCAACTAAAACCTGATTTCTGGTATTATATGCGTTTATTTGCATGTAATGGTAAAATGTTGGTACAGGATTCATTGTATTCCAGCTTATCACCACAGACATGAGAGCCATAACTTGGTAAAGCTAAAAAACCTGCTGTACGCATCAGGCTGCTAAGTTGCAACTAAAACCTGATTTCTGGTATTATGTGTGTTTATTTGCATGTAATGGTAAAATGTTGGTACAGGATTCATTGTATTCCAGCTTATCACCACAGACATGAGAGCCATAAAATGCACACCCAGAATTTCAATACTGTGTAAACACATATTCCAGCCTTGTGAATTAGGATGCATTGAAAACCTGATTTCTGGTATTATGTGTGTTTATTTGCATGTAATGGTAAAATGTTGGTACAGGATTCATTGTATTCCAGCTTATCACCACAGACATGAGAGCCATAACTTGGTAAAGCTAAAAAACCTGCTGTACGCATCAGGCTGCACAGAAGCTGCAGGGAGTGACACAAAGGTTTCTACCAGTAGACAAAAGGTTAAAAATTATTCTGGCAGACTTCAGAGGAGAGAAGAAGAATCTCAAGCCCTACAGGGAGTGAGGATGAGCGGTGTATTTTTAGTGTTAAGGCAAACAAGGTTACACGTGGACAAATTACGTGGATTACGTACCTGTTCATAGCCTGAATCTTTAATCCTTCCTCAATGCTGTGACTTAAAGCCTGCTGGTTATTGTGCTTGCTGATTCTTGCCAGCACCCTCTCCTGATGAGCTTCATATTCATCCCGGCTTGGATAAATTTTACTGATGAGAGCATCAAAATTGGGATCTGGTCTCAGTGATCTTTTTGAAACTAGCTTTTTACGACACGTGGGACACTCTTTGTTGCTGGACAGGAACAAGAAGGAAGAAAACAATACTATCTTTCTGGCTCTAATACCACAATTCTTGGTCAAAGCGCTCATTAAGACTCAATATTTACAGTAAATCTGGAATGGGACTTCTGGGAGTTATGGACATTTAAGCAAAAATCCCAACCATATATCTCCCTGCTTAATTATTTCTTTTTTTAAAGTGTAAAGCAAAAATCCCAACCATATATCTCCCTGCTTAATTATTTAATTTTTAAAGTGTGTTTAAGCAAACTGTATGTAGACTGAAGAGTTCAAAAGTTCCACATGGAAACTGGTTCTTCCCTTAATCCTCTGGCTCAAATTTTACCCAGAGGGAAAAAAAAAAAAGCATGTCTAGTGGAAATTGTATTAAGGCGTAGTCTTTCTAGCACTCACAGGACAAAACAAAGATTAAGGAACTTATTCTATAGTTCAAGCACTAATTACTGGGAAAACTAAGCCAATCTTGTCCTTCCTACCATTTTGTTCTCATTTAACTTTTTAGTTCAAGTTCACGCAATTTTTTTCTTGTAAAAGGAAGAGGCCTCAATAGCTGAAACGCTGGCATCTTCACTCCTGCTGGTTTTCTTGTTCTCACTAACGTATTTTTGCTAATTACTCATCAGAATTTACACAGGCACAGCCAATTACGTGTGACCTCTGAACACAGGCAATTGCCATTATCAGAAAAAAGATACATCATTGACTCAATCGCTGTTGGTTACCTCAGAATTCTAATGCTTTTGGAAAAATATGAACTTGTAGTTGAAGAATATAAGTTATTTGTACTTTAGCACAGGTTCTTTCAGTAGCGAATCCTGGAAGTAGGACTACTGCTGGAAGGCCACACAATTTGCAATTTCTTATTAGGAAAATGAAGAGAAGATACATCATTGACTCAATCGCTGTTGGTCACCTCAGAATTCTAATGCTTTTGGGAAAATATGAACTTGTAGTTGAAGAATACAAGAGAAGTTATTTGTACTTTAGCACAGGTTGTTTCAGTAGTGAATCCTGAAAGTAGGACTACTGCTGGAAGGCCACACGATTTGCCATTTATTATTAGGAAAATGAAGAATAAGGGAAATGAGACTCATTTTTGTAAGTAATGTAGTGTATTTTTGTTTTGCCGTTACTGGATTTAAAAGGAAAACAGGAACAAATAGAAGAGACAAGGGGTTTTCAAATCCTTGCAAAAAACAAAGTTGTGGGATGATTTTTCATACAAGGAAAAAGGCCAGGTCTGCTCTACCAGAGATGGCTAAATACCAAAAAAAAAGAAATATGAAAGGTGTGCTACACACTCAGAAACTTGCAGTGCACAGGCACGTAACTGTTCCACATCGACACCCAGGACTTAAAGGATTTCCTTGGCCACATTTGCATCTAAAGTGAAATCCTTCTTCCCTGTAATAATACTGACATACCCACTCCTGAGGGCTGTGATGATGCAGTCAGCACAGAAGCGATGCAAACATTCTTTTGTGGTCATGGTGTTTTTTAACATATCCAAACAGATGGGACACATCAGCTCACTGTGCAGGCTCCTTGGTGACACCACGATTTCCAAGCCATCAGTGATCGCTTCCTAGCGGGAGATAAAGTTAAAGTTCTTTAATGGAATTTAACTACCTCATGGAGATTGCATGTTTTACTATTCTTTTGAAAAGAAATACAGAAGAAAAAAAAAAAAAAAAAAAGGTAAATCAGGACACACACACAACCACATCAAACACACAAGGCCAAAGTTCTTTAATGGAATTTAACTACCTCACAGAGATTGCATGCTTTACTATTCTTTTAAAGAGAAACACAGAAAAAAAACAAAAAGAAAGGCAAATCAGGACACATACACGACCACATCAAGCACACAGCCTTGTGTGCTTGATGGAAGAAAAGAAATAAAGAAAGGAGGAAAAGAAATAAAGATGGGCATTGGAATAGGCTGCCCAGGGAGGTGGTTGAGTTTAAGGGCCGTTTAGATGCGGTACTGAGGGATATGGTGTAGGGGAGGACTTTGTAGAGTAGGGGAGATGGTTGGACTCGATGATCCCAAGGGTCTCTTCCAACCTCAATGATTCTATGATTCTATGAAACATATTTTAGTTTCTTAAGATTATGAGAAAGGTTTTGTTTAGTAAGGATTTTTTAAAAGAAATATTCTATAATTTAGAATAGAGTATAAACTCTCATAAAGGAAAAAGAAAACCTTAAACATCAAGCTTCAAGTTCTAAAAAAAATATAAAGAAAGCCTTGCCATGAAGGACAGCTCTTCAGCACATATTACCTGAGGTGTTCTTTGCAGTTCGTACAAACTGAGCTCCCACGTTTTGCTTAAAGGCTGCGTCCCATTTGTCTGCACAGCTTGAGACATGGCTGGGAAGGAAAAAAAAATAAAGAGAAAGAAGTTTCGTGTCAAACAAGTCAGGCACAGGAGCAGCTCCCTCTCCCCAGCAGGCTCTTCTGGCAAGTGAGGTGTCCCCGCGTCCCCGTGTCCCCGTGCCAACACGGCAGAAGGATGGGGGCAAGACCTGTTGGTCCTAAGCACCAGCCTCTGCTGTGTTACACACAGATAATCCTGTCCTCTGTACCACTCCAGAGAAACTGAGGGAGTCAGTCAGCCATGGACACTTGGCAAACATCAATTAAGGTTGTTAGACAAAAGGTGACGCAGAACTGAAGGCCACAAAACCTTGGCTGCGCGGCGCAAAAGCTGCAAATGCCAACCTGATGTGGAAAACATTAATCAAACACCCACTTACAAACATGCAAAAGGGTCAAGCAGGGTCTAACTTCCTAACTGGGTGGAAGGTCAAAATTATACACAATCACAGAAAACTAGGTGAACATGTTCACTGGAAGCATGCTAGAATATTAATAATAATAATAATAATAATAATAATAATGATGTCAGAACTTTTTACGTTTCGGAAACACACATCATACACACATTATCAGGGTTTTGCCCATTTTTCATATCAATAGTGGTAGACAGGGCTAAAAATAACTGCACTCGACAGACTGATACACCCGTCAAAATTTTGGGATTACTGCCGGAGATGAGGCAAAACTACCACACGTGGTCACTGCAGACATGTGAAAGGAAGTCAGGTCAAAACGACAGAATAAAATGATGTTTCGAAAACTTATCCCAGACTGTGTGATGTTTAAAAAAAAGAAATAAATGTAACCATATCAAAGAGGCAAGATTACAGTTGCAGACATTTCTACTAGGTAGAAAAAGCAGAAGTGCTGTCTTCCTTTATTTTATGAGTTTTGGGGTTTTTTTAAAATCTAAGTTGTATTTCCAGACCCTTCAAATCAGCAGCCAAACGCAGATTCTATTGGCATCAACCAGGTACATTATTATCCAGCTTCCAACTCATCAAGTTCTATGTAAAAAGGGTCAACCTCTCTGGAGAACAAGGTTACTTTATAAGCTTTAATTAATTGTTGAGGGAAAAGTAAGAGAAGCAGTGCAGCAAAGATTATTAGAGCTACTTTTATCCAGGCACAGAAATCAGAGTTTTCTCACCTTATGAAAAAAGGGGGGGGGAGCCTGACATAAAGTAGACACATCCACTATTACATTTAATAAGTAATACGGACCTGAAGAGGCATCAAAAGAAATAATTAGGAGATAACAGACCATCAACTCCAATTATTATTATACAAATATTGCGCCCTAAAAATACAATTTACTTGTCCTAAGAGACATGTTCCTCTGTGTAGACCCAAAATGTGAGATGTCCAGTTAGGACCTTACCTCTTCATTAAAAGGGACCGGTTACCACAACCCAGGGGCAACCTGTCAGCTCCCCGTCTGGCCAAGCACTAACTGTCCTCTCACGATTCTGTGTTTTTTATTTAAATTATTCAGAGGTATGAATTTAATGATGGTATTAAGTGATACACCTCAGCGAAGAAGCAATGCTGAAAAGTGTATTAGTAGCAAAAAAAGGGAACAGTTTCTCTGTGTTCTGATTTCCACTATTATTTAAGGTAATTCACAGAATCATAGAATTGCCTAAGCTGGAAGGGAACTTCCAGATCATCTTGTCCAACCATCAACCTAACACTGTCAAAAACCACCACTAAACCCATATGTCTAAGCAATTCCAGACATATGGGAATTCAAGTCCTTGGGGGTAAGGATTTTTGTTGTGTTGTTGCCAGTTGGTTGTTCTAACAGAGGCCCAGTATAATTATCCTGCATCTGCAGTGGATGCTACTCTTGAGTGCTTTTAAAGCTGACACATTTAATTAACTAGCATTTCAACTACTGAGAGAAATTTGTGAAGCTGCTAATCATTCACACCCTTCCCAAAATCTGCTGAAGCATACAGTCAGACTGCAGCAGATTAAGACAACTAAATCCCACTAAATCCCAGCCTCTCTTAGCAGAAAAGCCTGCTCCCAACATCATGCATCACCGTAAAGAACTCGTCTAAGCAGCCCCGTAGCAAAAAGCTCGTTGAAATATCTTGCCTAAACTTGCAGGCTTACACTTGCTAACACAGAAGGGCAGCTCTCCAGGCACCAGACTGTCAGCACATCTATCAGTCTGCACAACAAGTGTATTAACACTATCACTTATATCCCAACCTCGCCCACCCGCCCGAGGCTCCACCGCAGAAGACACGGTACAAGCCTCATGAGATATAATTGACCAGCTTTATTCTAAAGGCTGCTATTCTGAGATGCCGAGTGCTTCATTCTCACCCTAAGGTCTGCAGTGGTAGCACTTTCAAATTTTAAGAGGAAAAACACTGGCCTTAAAGCTAGCTGAAAGCTGGAGAGATCCACATAGTCCACTTTACCACTAGCAAACACCTCTTCTGTCTATAGAACGTACGAAGTTGGAATTTGAGGAACAGTGAAAACATGGTCAATTCAAACACGCCGAGCTCCCCTCTCCCTCCACCACAAAAAAATAATCAACAGCAACCACAAAAAAAAAAAATTCACATTACACTACATGGAGTTTTTAATCTGCCTGATGATCACTAAATAAACCTCTTTAGCTTTCTCCCTGTTCCCCTACAATTTCCAGATCTATAAAGGAGATGAGGCAAAACTACCACACGTGGTCACTGCAGACACGTGAAAGGAAGTCAGGTCAAAACGACAGAATAAAATGATGTTTCGAAAACTTATCCCAGACTGTGTGATGTTTAAAAAAAAGAAATAAATGTAACCATATCAAAGAGGCAAGATTACAGTTGCAGACATTTCTACTAGGTAGAAAAAGCAGAAGTGCTGTCTTCCTTTATTTTATGAGTTTTGGGGGTTTTTTAAAATCTAAGTTGTATTTCCAGACCCTTCAAATCAGCAGCCAAACGCAGATTCTATTGGCATCAACCAGGTACATTATTATCCAGCTTCCAACTCATCAAGTTCTATGTAAAAAGGGTCAACCTCTCTGGAGAACAAGGTTACTTTATAAGCTTTAATTAATTGTTGAGGGAAAAGTAAGAGAAGCAGTGCAGCAAAGATTATTAGAGCTACTTTTATCCAGGCACAGAAATCAGAGTTTTCTCACCTTATGAAAAAAGGGGGGGGGAGCCTGACATAAAGTAGACACATCCACTATTACATTTAATAAGTAATACGGACCTGAAGAGGCATCAAAAGAAATAATTAGGAGATAACAGACCATCAACTCCAATTATTATTATACAAATATTGCGCCCTAAAAATACAATTTACTTGTCCTAAGAGACATGTTCCTCTGTGTAGACCCAAAATGTGAGATGTCCAGTTAGGACCTTACCTCTTCATTAAAAGGGACCGGTTACCACAACCCAGGGGCAACCTGTCAGCTCCCCGTCTGGCCAAGCACTAACTGTCCTCTCACGATTCTGTGTTTTTTATTTAAATTATTCAGAGGTATGAATTTAATGATGGTATTAAGTGATACACCTCAGCGAAGAAGCAATGCTGAAAAGTGTATTAGTAGCAAAAAAAGGGAACAGTTTCTCTGTGTTCTGATTTCCACTATTATTTAAGGTAATTCACAGAATCATAGAATTGCCTAAGCTGGAAGGGAACTTCCAGATCATCTTGTCCAACCATCAACCTAACACTGTCAAAAACCACCACTAAACCCATATGTCTAAGCAATTCCAGACATATGGGAATTCAAGTCCTTGGGGGTAAGGATTTTTGTTGTGTTGTTGCCAGTTGGTTGTTCTAACAGAGGCCCAGTATAATTATCCTGCATCTGCAGTGGATGCTACTCTTGAGTGCTTTTAAAGCTGACACATTTAATTAACTAGCATTTCAACTACTGAGAGAAATTTGTGAAGCTGCTAATCATTCACACCCTTCCCAAAATCTGCTGAAGCATACAGTCAGACTGCAGCAGATTAAGACAACTAAATCCCAGTAAATCTCAGCCTCTCTTAGCAGAAAAGCCTGCTCCCAACATCATGCATCACCGTAAAGAACTCGTCTAAGCAGCCCCGTAGCAAAAAGCTCGTTGAAATATCTTGCCTAAACTTGCAGGCTTACACTTGCTAACACAGAAGGGCAGCTCTCCAGGCACCAGACTGTCAGCACATCTATCAGTCTGCACAACAAGTGTATTAACACTATCACTTATATCCCAACCTCGCCCACCCGCCCGAGGCTCCACCGCAGAAGACACGGTACAAGCCTCATGAGATATAATTGACCAGCTTTATTCTAAAGGCTGCTATTCTGAGATGCCGAGTGCTTCATTCTCACCCTAAGGTCTGCAGTGGCTGAACATGAGCCAGCAGTGTGCCCAGGTGGCCAAGAAAGCCAACAGCATCCTGGCCTGTATCAGGAACAGCGCGGTGAGCAGGACTCAGCTCTCCAGGCACCAGACTGTCAGCACATCTATCAGTCTGCACAACAAGTGTATTAACACTATCACTTATATCCCAACCTCGCCCACCCGCCCGAGGCTCCACCGCAGAAGACACGGTACAAGCCTCATGAGATATAATTGACCAGCTTTATTCTAAAGGCTGCTATTCTGAGATGCCGAGTGCTTCATTCTCACCCTAAGGTCTGCAGTGATAGCACTTTCAAATTTTAAGAGGAAAAACACTGGCCTTAAAGCTAGCTGAAAGCTGGAGAGATCCACATAGTCCACTTTACCACTAGCAAACACCTCTTCTGTCTATAGAACGTACGAAGTTGGAATTTGAGGAACAGTGAAAACATGGTCAATTCAAACAGGCCGAGCTCCCCTCTCCCCCCACCCCCAAAAAAATAATCAACAGCAACAACAAAAAAAAACCACATTACACTACATGGAGTTTTTAATCTGCATGATGATCACTAAATAAACCTCTTTAGCTTTCTCCCTGTTCCCCTACAATTTCCAGATCTATAAAAATACATGT